TCCACTTTAATGTACTGTCAAAAGTACCCCTCACATCTTCCAATTTTTTCATTTTAATCATTGATTTCAAATAATAATGTGTCTTAGAAATAAGGGTATAATAGTCACATCCCTATATAGAAAATTGTCCACTTTAGTGCACGGACTAAAATACCCCATATTTAAAATCTATTGATTTGCTTTTAAAATAAAAAATAAAGGTTAAAAGAGTAATCTACTGATATGCTCAAATTCAAAAGTTAAAATGATCACAATTCCACGTTCATGTTTTACAATTGTTTTTTTTTTTCTTTGTTTTTTTTTTTTTTTCCTTTTTGATTTTATAATGGGAATGTCAAATTCTAAGTGAGTTTTGCATCAACTTGCTTATCACAGCATTGTAATGAATCCTACTGCTAAAATTCACTCGGTCCATCTTTTTCTCTGACATTGAATATCGAGTGCGCAAATAGGCGTGAATTAATGAATATCGAACGTATGGTACATATTTAATACGCAATGTTAGATACGAACTATTAATATATTGAATTAGATTTTAAATTCCGTTTATATGAGGAAGTTAATTTTTTTTCCCCCTAGCAAATCAAGCAGTTAACGAAACAAAGTAAAACTTATCATAGTTTCTATCACAAGTCTTCCCTAATTTTTGTTTGGAAAATAAATTTTTTGAAATTTCAAATTTCATCTATAGATGTAAAAGTGATACTCCTAATCTCCTCGCTTTACATGGTAGAAACCCTGTGCCATGTTATGGGTTGCAAAACGTGGCCGACATTATCAAGTGCTTATTTTGTAGTGTTTAAAGTCTTATAAACTCAAATTCTTGCATAATAAATGAATAATAAATTGTGGATTTTTACATACTTGTTAAATAATGATTTTAAATCTTATGGAATGTGTTAATAATAAGTGAACAATGAATAATAAATTACGGATCTTGCAATGTGTGTTGATTAAAAATATTTTGACCAACTAAGTTTTGCTTTTTGTTTATGTTTCGATGTGGGTTTAATCCTTTGATCAACTAATCTTCTTGAGGTGACTTGTTGCGTAAGGTTCACTATAGATTTTTAGTAGATTTTGATAAAAAATAATGAAATGTGTGGTTGAAAAAATGTGAATCACAAAAAATGTGATTAAAATAAATTTTTGATTTAGATTAAAATTAAAATTTTTACCAAACAGGAGCCTAAATTTCGAAATCGGATCCAAAACCGCCAACACACACTCTCTTTTTGACTTCCTTTTCTGCACATTGAGATTCGTCTTTTATTATTCTATTATTATCTTCAAATTTCAACATTCAAATTAGTGCAAAATGCCTTTTATTTATAATTTTTGAATAAAATGGAATTCTTTCGTCAGTTCCTAACAATATGTCTGTTTTAAGAATGGCATAAAAACTCGTTCAATTCGAAATTCGTGGGGGGCGGGGCCAGAATTACCCGCCTAATCGAGTAAATGGGATGGGGACGGGGCGATGGTCATTGCCCCGAAGCAGGTACGGGAATCATAGTCCCCGCCCCGCTACCCGTCCCGTTTAAAGTTAATTTTAAATTTAAATTTTTTATCAAACAAAAATAATAAATTTATCATATTTTTAAAGAGAACATAAGTTGTTTCTAATAAATTAATAAAAAAGTAATAATATCTAC